AACAGTTGAGGTAGTTTAGCTCGAGCGATGGGGATGTTGATCCGTTGTTTGGTCCACCAGTCGAATACAGACTGAAATGTGCATATTGGAAGAATCTCCATAAAACTTTGCACAGACATTCATGGTCGCCAGAGGATGAATCCACCAGATGGTCATTTTCACGTCTCCTCTGAAATATCTCAACATATTTTGGATGATGGTCACACTCTTTTTGCAAAGACACTCATGGTCACCAGAGGATGTGTTCTACTGATGTATTCCGTCAGGATGGAGTGTAACCACTTTGGTGACCCCTTAATGTTTACAATTAGTTGTGCAACAGATCATAAAACTCACGGATCGGATCAGCACAAAATAAAAAAATGGATCAAATACCGATACTAATTGTTGATCATTGATGATCCATATTGGCAGATACAGATCCCTTTGTTGTTTGATTGTAGCAGCTGGTCTACAAGGCCCCATCCATCCCAAAAATCATTTCAACCGCTCAGAAGTCAGTGTAAAGCATCAAAAATTTACTTTGTTATAGTCATCCATAGTGTTTAATTTAAATGATTAGGACATAAAAGATTGGTTTTAATCCATAAAAATAAAATCTTGTCATTAGTAGTTTTAATGATGCATTATAAGCTGCTTGGAGCTAGTGTAAACAGGTCATAGTTCATCTATAATATCTATTTATGTTGCTCCTATTTATTGATTTATCTATTAATGCCAGCTAACAGGCTAAACTGAGATGTTTGAACATGGGAAACATTATACCTGCTAAACATCAGCATGTTACCATTGTCCTTGTGAGCGTGTTATCATGTCTATGTTGGCATTTATTTCAAACCACCACTGTCAGCCTCACAGAGCTACTAGCGTGGTTACAAAATCTTGGTTTGCGTCTGAAATTCTATGCTAACCTGCTATTTAATACGCTAAAACAATATGCGAGTTGTGTTTTTAGTCTGTCTTTCATTAGTATGAAACTATATCTGGGGAAACATTACAGTATGCAAAGAGTGGACACTATGCCGGCATAAATATCCCACAATGCAATGCGGTATCGAGGTCAACTTTTACAATAGGTAATGGCGGACAGCTCTGTAACATAAATAATGCTTCATTGTAAGTGTAAGTGAAATATTCCACTTTGCGAGGCGTGATATAAATTAGTTCAGCTCCTTGTTTGGTCACATGAGATTAGCACCGGTTTCAATGGTTGCGTCTCTCCAACAGGCAAGCAGGCTCTCAGGAAGTGACGTGGTAATTGCGGTTCAGTGCGTCCGAAAAGATGCATAGTATTGTTTCTTCACACAAAAGTATGATCGACGGTACACATTTTGGACGCTGCATTGTTCTTGGTTTGTTGGGTTTTGAATACAGCAGCTTTAATCCAGTATGAGGGGTTTCCGGGCCTGTAATGGCCGGAGAGTAGCTGTCGTTATGCTGCAGAGGAGTGATTAGCGACTAGTTGGTACCACTTCCTCCTCTGCTCCAGATATTCAGGGTTAGTGTTCAGAGGTCGGCGGGGCTACCAAAGATAGCCGCTGACACTCACCCACTTGACATGGCTGCGTAGGACTTCCTCAGAGAAGGGAAGCCTTCCGGGCATCATACAGACATTTATGTAAATTGAGGAAACATTGACTTTGCCTGCAGACTGCAGACGTCTCTTCTGCAGTTACCTGCAATGCCTTCTGCGTAGCCGAGATAATACGGTTAGGGAGGACGAATGGGGTGCATTTATAATTCACATTTGATACGGTTAATGCATTCAGACCTTCCGGTGGGAGAATACATTAGGAGAGTGAGTGGATATAGGAGGCTGTAGTAGACCATGACATTAAGGGTTTCCATCATGGTATTTATAGGCCTGTTTTACGTTCTCATGGTCAGCGGATGGAGCTGGGGCCACTGGCTGAAGCAGTCTTTACCTCCATGCACCTACTCTACCTACGCCTCCCTGCTCGCACTTAACCAGTCAGAGCTGCATCAAGGCCTCGTTGATTGCATTCGTTATTCCTGGTAAATTTTGACAGACACTGGCACGTTACCTCGCTCTCTTTCAAGGAGCCTTCATGAGCCAAGTCGCCATGGTAACTGCTGAAAACTCATGTTTGTAGTTCACGCAAGAACTCTGGCTTGTTCACACCGCTGAAGCAATGCACTCGGATGTGATGTGTAGTATTGGGGGTCCTGATGGTGCCGGCTGTAATTTGGTAATGGACTCAGTCAGACTAGAGGGAGAAGTGTAAGAGGAGCTTGCGGTGAAACGTTTTTTTTTTTTTTATTAGCAGATAGTTCGCAGTGCAGAGAGATAGATTAGCCAGTTTCCGGCTTTTCTTCCTGAACCTCTGGACACAGACACCAGCTCCCTGCTGTTGTTGGCAACCGTCTCCAGGAAGTGTGAGTGTGAGTGATGCATGCCCGGGCAATCCTCGGGTTGACACAGCCCAGATGACTGTGAGGGAATCCTTGGCAGAGGGAAGCCGGGGAACCCCATTCAACACCTCCAGCCCTTTCCCCTTCTGCCCGTCTTGTCCTCTCAGTCATTCCATCTTTGTATCCAGCATTCGAGTCGCAGCCAGCCTGTCTGCCATAAAAAACATTATACAACCAGGGAGGCTCAGTAATGGGGAAACAGGCTCATGTCAGACTGGTGGAGCATGGAAAACAGCAGAGCCCACTTCTCCACATTTCTGCTGCTGCTGGCAGAGTGCAGCCAGGAGTCCCCCCCCCCCCCCCCCCCCTCCCCTCGAGTTCAACCGTGTCCAACCTGAACTCTGAAAAGTCTCCAGACAGCAAGTTTGAAAAGCTCTTCACAACGACTCCTCAGCTATGATTGTGCAGGCCGGGGATGGTGATTCATGGAGACGCTCTCTGCACAAGGATCAGTCTCCCCAAGAAGGTTGTTATACGAGACGAAGAATATTACCATCATGTGCAGGTTTGACTTTGAGGGAAAGTTCTGGGCTGAAATCCTTGTACAAGAACCTCCTCTGTTCTTTTAATAGCTTGTTTGTACTGCAACAATCCGTTTCACTGCTCCGGGTTTTGTTACAAGCCAAATTAGGAAAAGTTATTTCACCTAAAATAACTTTATTTTTAATTTTTTATCTCCTTCGGGCGAAATTCCCTGATGGCCTTTGCAGTCTTTTGACCACCCAAAAGCCGTGGAACGATTCCAGAAGTCATTCAAGTTACACATGCCAGTGGCATGTGTAACGTGAGTTGCTGCGAGCTTTTTTTCGTTTTTTTGGAAGGACGCAGCGGGTTCACGTCATGGCCCTGCCTCTTTCCCGGCAGCCCGTCTCTCCACAGTGTCACGTTTGATGCTTGTGCAGCGCGGTCTGAACAGAACATGCAGAGAAACACAAGGTTTCCGCTGCTTAAAGGAGAGCACCGACTTTTCCACAAGGGAATGATGAAACGAAACGCAGACTTTGGCGGCAGACGAATGCACAAAACTGGGCATTTCGGATGTATGTTGTCGTCGCTCGTCGAGCTCTTCAGATGTGATGGATGCCGTTTGCTACATCGGGCCTGTTCGGTCGCTGCTTGCCGTTGGACTTGATGAGGACCTGACAAACGCAGTGACTAAGCACGCCCCTGTCCCGCTGCGGTGACGCTGATCAACAGCACTTGTCAATTGGAATGTTTTTTTTAGAACATGACTGATGTGTTTTCTACTCTCATCAGTGACTCATGTGTGTGGTGGGTGTTGTGTTCTGCTAATCCAACCAGATAAGATGCTCAGCTTGCCCCCCTTCACAAAAAACAATAAAAATACAGCTTTCCCTTTCAAATGACAGATGATGTGAAAGAAACAAGCAGCGTGTTTTGATTCTTGGGTCTGTTTTTGTGGGAGCTTGCCCACATACTGATGTAAAGCAAAGAAGAAGGGAGTGTTTACCACTGATTGCTGAGAAATAAACTCCAACGGTTTTAGAGACTGAGGCTGCAGCATGAATGTCAATGACATCACCACAGTTGTGATTAGGGAAAAGCGTTGCCTGGACAATCTAAGAAAGGTTTGCTTTATTCTAAAAGCAATTTCAGATAGGGCTCCAACTATTGATTATTTCCAATGTTTTATCTTTCAATTAATTGACAATTTAAAAAAAAATAGCCATCACAAGTTCCCAGGGCGGGTCTAAGAGACGTCTTCAAGGTACTGATACACAGTCAATTTTAACTGAACTAATCTGCACATTCTGACATTTGAGAGACTGGAACCAATCAATGTTGATCTTTTTCTGCTTGGTATTATAACTAAACGATTGATTATCAAAATTGTTGCTCATTCTGATTGAGCTGATGCATATAAATACAAAGAGAAAAAGAAAATATTCTTGGTACAGTATACCATTTAATAGAAAACCTTTGGCAACATAACCATTTGATTATGAACAGGTTTTCTTTTTCAGTTAACTGAGTAATATGAGACTCCGGAAGATTTAATTAAGATTCCAATTAGTTGATTAGTCACATTAATCTGTCAGAAATCGCTTACTTTAATAATTGATTAATTTTCAGTAATTTCTTTATGCAAAAAGCCACAGCTTCCAGTCTCTCAAATGTGAATATTTTCTGTTTTTCTTTGTCTTCTATGATATTAAACTTAATGCATTTGTGTTTTTGACAGTCTGATAGTTACGCAACATGAATATGCCAACATGGCTCCATTGAGTACAGAACTGAAACTGCCTTTTTGACCAGACAATTAACTGAAAAAATAATGGGTGGATTAATTAATATGAAATGGACATGCATAGAAAATGGAACTTGTGTTACAAAGAAATATGATCTGACGTAACAGAGCTGAGGCTAGTTTACGACAACGGAGATTTTCATTTCATGAGTCTATCTATCTATCTATCTATCTATCTATCTATCTATCACTGAGTTCATCAAATGTATTAACTGCTGTTTGTCTTTCTCCTCCACCCTCCTCCCCTCCACCCTCTCCATTTGATTCCTTCACAACTGACGTGGTGTGACACCCACAGAGCTCCCAGCTGAAGAAGGTAAATATTGATTTTTAATTTTTTTTTCCCAACGCTCTTAAGATCCTCCTCCTCTATACGACCCGATTAGGTGTTGTGCCAGGATCTTTTCTTCTTTGTTGACCCAGGGCTAGACTTTGGGAGTGTTCTGTATCGTCTTTACAACTTAAACCACAGTCAACACATCTTACAGATCCTCTTTCACCCTAAAGTATAAGGGCACACTTTGAGTCCTTGCAGTAGAAGCCTTAAACTTTTCATTGTTAAGTCATACAACGCAATATTATTGTTTCGTTACAACTGTTTAGTATTAAATATTATATATCCATAAACCTAAATGTTACTTATGCTGAGTAACATTTAGGTTTATGGATATATAAGACAAATGGACGGCATGTTGCCCTGAAGAGTTTTGGAGGAGGTGTAATTGTTGATTTTGTGATATTTAGTGACTAAATGGTGAATAGGCGAGAGGATGAGAATCTCTGAACAGGATAGAAGCAGAAAACGCTGTGGAGCGACTGTATACCTAAATGCATATCTTTGTATTTTGCAGAACCATTTTTATTAAATGTGTAGCACCAGATTGAGCCTGTGTGACATCATTCTGTGCACCGCTACATGTGCTTGATGCATAAAGTTGTGTGTGACGCCTATTTGTTTATGCGTATTTCAGGCAAGTCCCTGTGGGAGCTGGTGGCGGAGCAGTTTGAAGACCTCCTGGTCAGGATCCTGCTGCTAGCTGCCTGCGTCTCCTTTGTAAGTACGACCCAGCGAATTCAAAAATGTCATTGGCCTTCGTCTTTATTTGTAATCTTGATGTTCTAATGTCCCACTGTGGGGATATGAGACCCAAAATTGGACACTGTCCAGGAAATTGCCACCTAATAGGCTTGCTCCATTAGCTTTAGGCGGCTTTATTCCCCTATTACAACACTGCTCAACCTCGTTTGTGGTCCGTTTTCATGTGGAAACCTGCGTATTACAGGCTTGTCAACCCAGTCTTGGTATGGTTTCAGTGAGGGGAAACGGGCGGCGCACTTCTGCCGAGCTGGAAACAAAACTATCAATCAAAACTCCCTGCGCTGCAGCGACCCCGGTTGCAGTCGGAGGGTGGTGGAGGTCTGAAAGGGGTTTGAGTGGTGGAGACTACAGCACCGGTGTCTCGGGATGGAATTGCTGTTGCTATTTCTGAAAGTAGGAAAATTGCTCTAAAACTGTATATGGCACAACACATCTCCTCCAGCCGCTGTCGTGTTAGCAGGCGTGGGCTGTAAGTGCAGGACTTTGGAGTGCGGGCTCCACTTCTCTTCATGTAAAGCGGGCTTAAATAGGTTGTTTATAGTGGAACACGGTGCCTGTTCCACTGTCGCTCAGACCCCAACGCTGTACGATGTCATCGCTGCCTGGAGTGGTTTCAGCTCGGTAACTAAAGCGAGCTTCCTGGTGACCTGATATGACCCAAAATCGCATACATGCCACACTCCAAAGCAGCTTGTTCTTAATCACAAATTCTCAGGGTTTGTCTGGTGATACTCCTACAGTCTTCTTTAACCTTTTTAACTTTGCTATTTGCTCTCTGTTTTGAACGTCACCAGGGAGTGGCACAAGTAGAGAGAACTGCAGTGAAAGTTCAAATAGAACCTGCACTCATTTGGCTATTGTTTTGAATATATTCAAAGTGAGCTGATGAAACTCTCCCGCCTCCTTTGCATGACACAAGAGCAGAGTTCATCATCAGACAAAACAGGTCAGGTTAGGCTACTTTGTAATGTACAACATGATATCATTTACAGCAATGGGGGGGGATTCGCAAACAATTCGGTGAGCTGCATATCATCAATGGTGCCTCAATTTATCACACCAATTATATTATGTCCTTCTATAAATGATCTATTTTCATGTTGCTGAAGCCACAAGCAGCCCCCCTCTCTGGCAGGGCTGAAACAATCCGTGCACTTCCTCCCTTTGAGTTGAAGCAAAAAAGAGGGCCGATCTTTTATTTGGTTTTCCACGTTACTACGTGGAGTCCAGTTGGGAGTACAGGAAGGAGCTTAAAAAGTCAATTGACAATTGAATTGGACTTTTAGCCTCCTTTTGTTTACTGTTTCATTCTTCATCAGGTGACCTTAAGAGTGTTTCTTTCCATTTTGCTGGGCACCGTGCGCTTTTCCAAAACATTCAGCTATAATGGACCATCTGTCTGCAAGTTTCTCAGCGTTCAGTTATGTGTGCGGGGTGTGAAGAGTGCAATGTTCAAAGCTGTACAGAGAGATTTATTTTGGTAATGAAGCTTTGATTTGGAAGAACATTAAATGAGCTTACATTTGTCTTGGATGGCCAAACGCAAAGGCAGTTCAATTTCCACCAGATTCCCTCGATGAGTTCTAAAACCCAAATGAGATCCTGCTCGTCTCTCCATTTGAATTCCTATTCAGCGTGAAAGTAGCAGTTAGGTATTCCGACTCCTCTCTAAATGTGCGCTGATTGTGTGAAATGTCTTTTGAGCCGTCCTCACTGAGAGGACTGCCATTGTTGCCCTCCAATCTCAGCTCGGTCACAGGAGAGATTTACCGTCCCGAATGATGAGCTATCGACCGGGCTCTGGCCGAGCTTGACGCACACCCTGCCTCTCAATACACCTGGGAGACCATACCCTTTTTTATCATTTGATAAGCCCCATCGATCGTGGAAAAGTAGATCCACGTTATGATCTCCCCCTCTCGCTCTGCTGCTTTTGCTGTGCAGTATTTTTAGTTTCAGCGACGAAATGAAAAGAAACAGGCGTCTACGTCCTGTCGGTGTTGCAGCGGGCAGCTTTTTGTGTTATGATCTTCTAAAGATGCACTTTAATGCGTATTACAGCAGCTAACATAGTGGCTGCCATCTCCGACACCTTTGACACCTCAGAATCCATTAGTATTCAGCTGCCATCATACTTTATCTGGCTGTAGAGAAATGGCAAAAGTATAGAGTGATTGTCTGGTGTATTCTCAGTGGAGATATTATTGGAGCCAGTGCAATATACGAGATTGGGAGCTTTGCTTTTGCCTCTCAATGGCTCTCAACCTGGCTACGGCTGAGCCAGCGGCTCGCGGCTAACAGTGCTAACAGCCGCAAAAGTGCTGACGGAGCTAGCGGTGTTTAATTGAAGGGGAACTGGAGGGTGGGTGCCATGCGTCCATGACAACGCTGTCGATGTGGACACACACACACGCACACACACACACAAAGGTTGGACAATTAGTACAATAGTTGTTTGCTATATTGATTCTCTTATTGCTTATATTATTATGTATGCCAGGTTGACTTGACACCTGCCTCTAAAGTAGTTTGGGAATTTGTAGCTTTTTTGTTACATAACTTTAAAAGCAGCTATAATCAATTTTGTTACGTTAACAATGGATGATATGACTTATTTTAACTGAAAGGGGCACTCGTAGCAACAAAGTTATCACCCGTCTCAGCAGTTCTGTAGAGCTTTACGCCGTCTTTTCAGCTCCTTGATTTCAGTTTTCCGGACCGCAACTTTTCTGTTTTGATTCTCTGTTCTTGTGGGCCGCAGAAAGCAGCTGTTTACAGTAAAACGTCTCTAAAAGCCAACTGTACGATACCTGACCAGCACCTAGCAACTGACGGATAACAGTTACAGTCTAGCTAGTGGACATAGTGGAGTATTTAGTGGATATTTCTCTCAGAAATTTGTAGAGACAAAAATAGAGCTAATGTTGGTGTATGCCTGCTGGGTGTAAATAGGCGATTCTCTCCTCTTTGTGGAGTGGAATTGACCCTTGAGACATGGCTGCCGCCTCTCTAGCTTTGTTTGAGGGTGTGCCTCAATATGATTATTTTAAAGCGCGGGTATTTGACTCGAAATTAATTTCATATTTGTTGAACTGTCCAAATTCTTGTGGCTGCCTCAATATTTCAGCTGTCGACTGTCTTTTTCAAGCCTCACATCCTGGTACGCAGTCCTCCGAAAAGACACTGCACCACAGAGAGAAGTAGATCTCACACCATCCTTATGTAAATAGGAAATTTGTGTGTGATTTTCCTACCGTCCAGGAGCTTTGGTGCACTGGATCTAAACCGTGCTACATGATAGGCTCATGCAGAACTGCGCTCCACAAGAGCTGAGTTAATTTAGAGTAATCCCTCTGATTTTCATATCCCCAAATGATCTAGTTTCCTGCAGGATTTGATTTGTTTTTCTTGCCCCTCTCATTTTAGGCATCGTCTTGCTGCTCTACCCTTTTATTTTATTTTTTTTGAAAATCTATCCTGAATAATTTATTTGTTTTCATTTTCTTTTTGTCATTTTATAAGTAGAATGACTTTTTCAACAATAAATGAATAATACAGTCTACTGAGTGAAATGCATATTGGATTAATTTGAACTGCATCATTTAATTGTACTTTTTTTTTAATGTTAGTTTTTGGTTTCCTGCTGGATGTGAGACATGTTGGCTTTTCTTGTGTTGTTTGCAGCCTCTAAACTGTTGCTGGAGGGTAAAAATGTACACTGTATTATAACTGTCCATTTTAACACCGTGGGATACCATGACACTGGTGTACCGGTAGACTGTCCCAACCCGATGCGAACTGTAACACACACTCACTGAAACTGTGCTGCAGCATCTCTTTCCAGATACCTACCATCGAGTTAGTTTTTGTCTTTCCAGATTTTCAACGTTCAAGCACTTTTTTTTTTTTTTTTTTTTTTTTTTTTTTTTTTTTCCTCCCAAATTGTGTTTCATATCAAGCCATCCCTGAAAATGTATATAATGCAGCCAGCATGGGACTTGAGTTGCAGTACAAAATGTCAGTGTTAATGTTTCGTGTACTGTATGTTCATCTAGGTGTTGGCTCTGTTTGAGGAGGGAGAGGAGTCGACCACCGCCTTCGTTGAGCCGATTGTTATTCTTCTGATCCTCATCGCCAATGCTGTTATCGGGGTCTGGCAGGTGAGATGCACTCTTCATCCCGTGTCTCTGTGCAAAGTGCTTACGCGCATGAGTAACGTTGTTTCCTTCCACGAGGCATTCACATGGTTACAAGGGCTAACGAGACCGTAAAGTCGAAACATTTTATCCTGGCCACCAGCTGTTGGCGGATGCATGGGATTCACCTTTGGAGTCTTGTTACCCGTGTGCTCCGTTTAGAACTTGCACCACATGCTGACATCCATACGTCCAAACGACACATTTTCAGTCTCGAGTCCAAACATAAACAAACCAGGGAGCTCATGCAAAGGGCCCATGAGGGAGCATGAATTTTTGATGAAAGTGTCAAAAATAGAGAGAACTCTGCAAAGTGTTACCTGGTGGTGTTTTTAAGAACGTTTCCTTTCTAAAAGCTTTGTCTATTATTGTGTTTGCCTTGCATGCTTTTATTATGATTACTCGAAATTAACCTGCTTGAACAATATTAGTTGTCAATTTACCTAGAGGTTTCAAAATTGTCCTCTGCTTGACTCTCGCTTCGTCACATCTCCCTGCGCAGGAGCGGAATGCCGAGAATGCCATCGAGGCCCTGAAAGAGTATGAGCCAGAGATGGGGAAGGTGTACCGCATGAACCGCAAGGCTGTCCAGAGGATCAAAGCCAGAGAGATCGTCCCAGGAGACATAGTGGAGGTGGCAGGTAAGCTGCGGCCGCCACTCGCAGCAGCCCCGATCTTACTGTCACTCACCCAGACTAATTTACACTTTGCCTACCTCCGGTGGACTCTCGCTGCTGTCACAGAGCTGCCTGCGCGGTGCCGCCACCGACATGCACACACTCACGCAGCCTTTACCACCCATTCATGAGTCTGGAAACACTATTGGAATAACTCAAACTGGATTACATAAGAGTATTTTCTCAGGATTTGCAGGTGCCAGCACTGAAATCCAGTTGTGTGTGTGAGGTTCTGTGTAAGTGGCTGTGGTCACCACTTGTATTTAAGGCCCAGTTTAATTTTCCACAGCTTTCCCCCCTTTTCTTCCTTTTGCTTTCCATGCTCTCAGTCTCACCACCTGGATGCTGCTGAATGTTTGTCAGCTCCCTCCACGTTACATGCACACACGCACACACACACAATCCCCCTGCTGTAAACTCGCCCGTGTGTGGGCAAACTCATCTAAAAATAGTCCTGTTGTCACTCTGGTTCCAGAACATCTGTCTGTGTGTGTGCGTGTGTGTGTGTGTGTGTGTGTGTGCGCTGGAGTTAACGTGGGAGCGCAACAACGTTCGCCATCAACATGCCTGTTTTTTTTGAGGGGAGAGAGAGAGAGAGAGAGAGAGAGAGAGAGAGAGAGAGATCTCCTAGGCCTTGCATGGTTGGCGAATTGTCTCAGACGGCTCGGAGGGAGGTCTGAGAAAGGAGGGAGAGCCCTAGATGTGTGAGAGATCACAGAGCTCATTCATAATCACGGCACGGAGAGGCAAGGAGAGAGATTATACATGCTGCGTTGGTTACAGTGAGGCCTTGGCGCTGTTGGATTTTTAAAAATGAAATCATCCGTCCAAGTAACTACCACGGAGGCCTCCTCACACCGACTCCCTGTTACGTTTACCAAATTGTTTCCCCTCCAGAGAGTCTAACTGACATTACTTTCTTGGGAAGAAACTACACTGTGTGTGTGTGTGTGTGTGTGTGTGTGTGTGTGTTTATGTGACAGGTAGCACTTCCCTGGAATTTTGGGCTTGTTATGGCCGGTGTCGTCAGCCAGACGCTAGACAAGCCCGCACAGGTAGCAAGCTCCAAAATGTATGCTCAATCTCCCGTCAAGAATCCCTTAATAGTCTGACCTAAACTCATACAGTGAACATTAAAGTTTTAGGATGATCGAGAGACAGCACTTGTCTCTGTTGTTGGCATTGTGCACTCTATTTTCAATGTACAGCATCATCGGTCTGATATTTCCTTTTGCAGACAGTAGAGGTGGCTGGACACGTACGTGCGACACCTTCTGCTGAAGACAAGGCAATAGTTGAAGCTATTTCAGCTCGTTCCAAGCCCAGAATGCGTTGCCAGTCAAAGTTTACTATGAGAGGAGGTATGATGGGGGTGCCGTGTCGATGGGGGTTGTATCAATCTCTTCGTTCGTTCTGTCTGACATAACGTTGTTTCTTAGCAGTTTTAAACGAGAGTAAACGGCTTAGAAAAATGTGTGTCAGATCGTCAAGCACACCCTCCTGTTTGAAGCATGTAGGGATACGGCAACTAAGAGAACGTATTCATATTTTCCTGATTTCTCAGGCGTTCCAGTCCCTCAGATTAGCCTGAGGTTATTCCATGAGAACTGTACGCTAGGGGGGTAAAATAAACTGTATAAAGAGCTGTCGGAAAAGGACTCTGTTGACCACAAGTGCCTTTGAGGGGAGAAAAGATCATAAATGTATTTACTCAAGTTTCCACTGCTGCTGCCTTCTTGGAGGTACGCTGACGGCGATGCCAGCAACGCTTACAACGCAGTTGTGATTTGCACCTCCGCTGGAACTTTGCTGGTTAGGGTTAGGGAGTGACTACAGCGGTCAGGAACTCTTGGAGGGTTTACACAGGACCTGAAGAGATGGAAACCTGCACTGAGCCATTCCCACTAACGAGTCACGGTTAGCCTGCACGTGAACGAAGACCTCTCTGCCAAGATATTATGCAAGAGAATTAGTTAGAAGTCCAGTTTTACCAAATGGAAGGAGAACTCCGGCTGGCCACACCGGCTGACCTCATTTGTTTTGATCAAATTTGCATGTGCCGCGTTTCCATTTCATTCATTCTGAGGTAGATGCTAATTATAAGAAAATTCTTCTTCTTGCATTTTGATACTTCAAAGCACGACAAATAATAATCAGACAAATGTCTGTTTTAAAGACTGTTCATCTGAAGCTGTCGTAGGATGCGTTTCTCTTCCAGCAGATGGAGAGTGTCAGTGGGAGGCCCGTGGCAGAAAGTGGACGGGGGAGCAGGAGACTGTGGGTAGGCGTTTGAACAGCCTCTCTCTTCCTGCCTTTGGCGAGTCCTGCTACTGTGAACCTGTAGCCCCCGGCCATCTCCCACACAAACACGGCACACACTCATCTCCCCCTCCGCCTCTCACACTCTTGTTCTCTCACAACCCATGGGTGTCAAGACGGAGAGATGTGGAGGAACACGGAAGTTAGAAGCACTGGCTAATTCAGGGACACGCGGTGCGGCCTCGTCTTCATCACTCCGTCTCTTTTACCATCGCCGTCCCGTCAGGATAGACCCCCCAAGGTCACAGAACATCGAGCGGCTGTCAAGAGGAGATGATGGAGCTCTGAGAGACGTGGAGAAAGATCAAGGAAGAAACACTCTGAAGCTTAGCAGTGTGAGATCACTTTGAAAAATTTTCACTGTGAAGTGGGCTGGTACAGAAGAAATACGTGAGAGGGGTGAGGTGGGGGCAGGAATTCGACAAGATATCTAGCCATATTCATGCTGAAAAGCCACAGTAGATTATTTTTCATGGTCTACTTTGCTGGAAAGAAACAAGTGAAGAATATCACACCTGTCTGATGTGTTTGGAGCAATTTCCCACTCCTCTGCTCTGAGATCATTTTCAATGACTACATCAAACCATCCATTCTTTACAAGCTCGCTCAGTCCTCCCATTATTATATAATTTCCATGAAATGTTCATTGTCGGGCTCTAATAAAGAGGAAGCAATAACCTTTTTTTGTTTTGGAGCATTGGAGACTTATAATGGTCCGGCTATGAAATACGGGTTTAATATACGGATTTAGTAAGCAGACAGTGAGACCGTGGCAGGGAAGATGAAATGCAGGCTTCAACTGCAGTTTATGTGTGACGTATGTAAGGAAGTGGTGTATCACAGGAACAAAGAGTTGAGCAAGAACAAAGTGGAGGGTTTTTTTTTAAACAGCAACGTGACTCCATCAAGGTTCTATTGAGCCATTGTTTACCTGCGGCTGCAGCTCGAGCTCCAACCAGCTGACGTGTCTTTGCCCAAGGATTTATTGTTTGAACACGGACATTCGATATGGTGTAACTAAGGGTTCACCTGCTGCTCACAAGCACAGTTGGACTTCCCTGAGGGACAAACCTTAGTAGAAGTGCATCTTCTCCTACGAGCTAGGATGGTCTTCTGGTCATTGTAAGCCATGCTAGCTGTATGGCTCTATGGATGGTAACGTCGGCCTGTTGGTACGTCCACCACTTTGTTCCTGACTGAAATATCTCAACACCCATTGAAAATTTGGTCCAGATATTTAAGGTCCCTAGTGGATAAAGTGTATAATAACTTGATCACCTGACTTTACCACATCCTAAATTGTACTGTGAGGTAAGTGCTAATGTTAGTATGCTAACATGTTATTTAACATGGTAAAACTTATACCTGCTAAACATCAGCATTTTAGCATTGTTTTTGTGAATATGTAAGCATGCTGGTGTTAGCATTTAGCTCAAAGCAGCGCTGCCCCAGAAAGCTGCTAGCATTGCTGAAACCTCGTTACTTGTTGAACTTAAAGGGCCAGTGTGTAGTATTTTGCAGCATCTAGCGGTGAGGTTGCAAATTGCAACCTACTGAAACTTCTCCTTTGTGCTAAGCATGTAGAACGAAGTGTTATGACTCTGTATGGAGGAAAAAAACAACTCATTCTAAGCTACGAAAACACAACTCATTTTCAGGTGATTATACACTGAAGAAAACATACTTATCAATATTATATTCCATTTCTGCTAATAGAAGCCCCAGTCTCATTGACTTGAAATTAATCACACATGTCTAGCTCAATGTGTTTACATTTTTTTGAAAAACACATTTTTAGAAATCTGCTCCCTATCAGTAGGTCACATTGCTTCCAAATTGGTGTCTTACTAAGTTTCTTCTGAGAAATTGATTAATTAATGAACTTCAAAAGGTCGTGGCTCAGCCCAAAACCCGCTACCTGCGGCTATGATTTTTAGCATTTGAGCTGCTTCTTTCTGTTGAGCGAAAAAGGGCTTGAACCCAGAATGACTGCTTGCGGCTGTATCTAATGTAATATTTTTTTGTAATCCCAGACTTTTTTTTTTTTTTTTTTTTTTTTTTTTCATCAGTTGGTGACAAGGTGCCTGCTGACATCAGAGTGACCTCTATTAAGTCCACCACCCTGCGAGTGGACCAGTCCATCCTCACAGGTATTTCCCATCTCTCTCGTCGGACATCAAACAATCCATCTTTAAACCGTTCACATAATTCAGATAGTCTGCTCCCTGGCACCTTTATTGCATTAACTTAGAAGAACAAAGGTTATACACTTTGTTTAAGTTAGTGTCTGTGTTGGTTCTTCCTACCCCCTTAGACTTTAAACTTTGTTTGGCTCTGTCCTTGTCGAACCATCACATTGTTGGTTGTATAATCACCTGTGGCACTTCCAGATCTAATCCCGTACAATCTTTCCTTTAGGGGAGTCTGTGTCCATCATCAAACACACGGACCCGGTTCCTGATCCCAGGGCTGTCAACCAAGACAAAAAGAACATGCTGTTTTCTGTAAGCGCATCCCCCTGCAGCTCGCTGAGTCATCTTTATCTTCCGCCTTCATATCGGAGATTGATGTCTTCATTGGCACAGCTATACAACCCTGACCTTTAGTAACGTCGTTGAACTTAATGTTTTCTCAGAAAGGTTACATCCCTTCTCTGGTGATGTAAAGGCAGCTTAATGTAGGCGTGTTTGATTCACTGCCGTTTGAAGGAAACTCTTCTCTTTAAACGTTGAAGAACGTTTGAAGAGAAGGTCAAACGTTCTGCGAATGACTAGAAATATTTTTCACAGATTCTTTCTGCGTCACTATCCAGCACTTATTTCTCCCGCTCTTCTTTTTTTCCCCTCAGGGCACAAACATTGCAGCGGGCCGCGCCATAGGTGTGGTCATTGCCACCGGCGTCTCCACAGAGATCGGTAAGATCCGTAATCAGATGGCAGCTACGGAGCAGGAGAAGACGCCGCTGCAGCAGAAGCTGGACGAGTTCGGGCAGCAGCTCTCCAAGGTCATCTCGCTGATCTGCGTGGCCGTGTGGGTCATCAACATCGGCCACTTCGGGGACCCCGTCCACGGCGGCTCCTGGGTCAGAGGGGCCATCTATTACTTCAAGATCGCTGTGGCCCTGGCTGTGGCCGCCATCCCCGAGGGCCTGCCCGCTGTCATCACCACCTGCTTGGCCCTCGGCACGCGTCGCATGGCCAAGAAGAACGCCATCGTTCGCAGCCTGCCATCGGTGGAGACGCTGGGCTGCACCTCTGTCATCTGCTCCGACAAGACGGGCACCCTCACCACCAACCAGATGTCTGTCTGCAGAGTAAGTGGCGACGCTTTTTTGTTTTTTTTTGGACTGCTGGTTATGCAGTTTTGCATTCACTCAGCTGAATTAGTATTTCATATCCACATCCTGTCGTTTCATTGCCTCTTCATAAAAAGCTTCTGGGAATTTGTACTTGAGTAAGCGCGAAGCAGGGGAATTCTGGAAAGTCCTTGTGGTGTTGTAAAGTTCTCCTCTGTTTAGCAGGTTTGAGATAACGGCTTGTGGAGCAGCACAGGCTGGCATGAGCCGGCAGCTCCAGTATATTACCTGATCCGCTCACACAAGCACAGTGAAGGCTTTCCAAAATGTCACATGGCCTGAATAAACACAATACAAGGATCCATGTCCTGTAGGTTTCAGTGTATGAATAGTGGCTATATAATTACATTAGACGACAAGCACTGAAAGGTCTTATCCACAAGTACTCACTGGTGGTTTTGTAGCACACGGCCTCACCCTTTCCTTTGTCTGTTGTTGTGTGTGTTGCCTGCAAGCCGTCTTTGATCCAAACGCATGAGTAAATGCCAGCGCTGCTGTTTGCCTTGGCTCCTGTTCAGGGCTTTAGCGCTACACACACACACACACACACACACACACACACCTAATCTCCGTTAACACCTCTTGTCCTTACATCCTCGATCTCACCCCAGCTAATGACCTCAGAGGTTCTGGTGGCCAGAATTAAGGCCATGTCCCATAAAAGATAGAAAATCTGGAATGTAGTTTATATATTACTACAAGGAGAGTTATTAATATTGTTAAAATTTGGACAGTTGTTATTAGGTTTTTATTAATCGCAAAGTCTTGATCTAGAAGGTGCTAGAATTAACCACATGTAAACCCAACCTGAACACGACGTGCATAAATAAATCTTGAAAAAACAGAGAGCCGATCCAAATAGACCCGAGGATAACTGGACCCAATCCAAAGTTGACACGAACAGCCTCTAAGGAGTGTAATATTGTCCTAAGAATGAATGTCAAGTCATAGAAACGTTATTACAAATATATTAATTTGCTTTAAAGACAAATTTCCTGTTTTCCACCTCCAACAATAAAACATTCCGCAGCCAATTTTGGAAGTGACATAAAAATTTTGTTAAAGGCAAAATGTGTTTCAAAACACCATTTCAAATCAAATGTTTAGGTGCTGCAGAGATGTCCTGGCCAACATATCATATTCTATTTAATTGAGAAAACATCTTTGTTTGGTACAGATCCCTGCAAAAGTCACACCAAAATCATTTCAATATGTTTTTAGAATAATTATGTGATTGTGATGATGAAAATCATTTTTATTTAATTTATCGCAATACTTTTTTTCACATTCGTTTAGCCCTAATCAGAGCTGATACTCGGGTATTAATAGACATATTACTAAACCAACCCAATTAGTCTGAAGATTGACTTGGACCAGGTCCACCTCTGGTTCAAAGTCTGATCCTGGTTCCACAGATAACAGTTATTGCTAAAACGTGTTTTTTAAAGTAATATAGTCCTGATATTCAAAGAGTTTATGCAGAGGCTGATTTTTCCGCAGCTTGCATGTCGGTTAGACATAACTTCCTCTAAAAACCAGTAGAAACAATATTTTGACTTCTGTAGATCTTTGTCTGTGTGTATCCATTTTATTTTCTCACCGTCTCAAAATGGAGTTGGCATCAGAGGATTGTGCACTTCCTGTACGGCAGACACTCTTGCGGTATAAACGCCCCTCCCTCCCTTTTGCTCCCCGAGATGACGCGGCGTGTCTGCTCGACTCGTGCGTAGCGGCAGGGAGTTCCCTCCAGCAGGAGGGACACGGAGCAGTGATCTCACCACAACCCCGAAACCCTCCCAGACAGAAAAAGAGCAACGGCAGGCTGACGCTGGCAAATATTGACCTTCTGCTTCCGCCTGTACTCCCCGGTCTGCTGCTCTCAGCTCTCTGGTGGAAGATATGCGGGGGGGGGGGGGGGCACTCATACTCTCACACAGACAAATCAAACTTCCACTTTGCAGTTGTTGTTTTTTGTCATTGTGTTTCCCGGAGATAAGTCATTTTTGTGGTTGCATAACTTGTCCCTCTTCGTGTTCGTTCTATGCTTGGACGGCTGTGTTTGCTCTGTTTTTTTATGGTGTTTTTTTTGTGCGTCAAGGTTTAAATGCCCACATGAATGTTTGCCCAGGCTTATCCATCTGTGCTTATTCTTGGACTGGTCTCCAGCCAGAGGCCCTGATGGCACCATGTGTCTCCCCTGCCTCGGGGCTATCCCCATATCTGCAGGATTTCCAGGGATTCCCCCTCCGTATCCTGACTTCCCTTTTCCCTACACACACACACACACACACACACACACACACACACACACACACACACACACACACACACACACACACGATGGGACACCACACATAAAAAGGGCTACTCGCCACTCCCCCCCTACCCCGACACAAGCTCAGAGGAAGTGAGTAGAAGAATACAAACTTGTGCCACTAGCACTGAGTCACATGGCTCACACTGTGCCGTGTTTCCTTGGAGACCACAGCAGATCAGTTAGGGAGGGCAAAGTGACCACGGATGAAAGAACAACCCTATTTTATTTCGTAGGCCCTGCTTTGTGTGTGTGTGTGTGTGCTGTACGTGCTTTAGTAGAAGTTGTTGGGTCCTTGAGTCGTCATTGTCGAACTGTTATAGAGCGAGAGCGTGTCGAGCCTGATGACCTTTGTGAAATTAGGAATTGAGCAGAAGGGCGAGAGGTTGTTTAAAAGTTCCTTAAAGGGACAGTACATCGCAAAATGCAATGAAAAATCAGTGAGCGGAAATCTGGTGATTGACTCTCCTCCAACCAAATACCAATACAACAGAAGAACAGCTGGTGCAGGCAAACAAACACGTTGTTTTCAAAAGACAAAAGTCAGGCGCTGTAATTGGCCTTTTTCCATTATGCCATGAGTGTGTGCAGTTTTCCACACAACAGCAGGTCACAGTAAATGTGGTTACCTCACCTGCAGTTCTTCATCTAACAGCTCATTGTGGCTGCTGCTGGCTGTTCCACTGCTCCCTGGGATATTTAACTGTCACAAATGACCATGTCCTTTCTTGTCGACATGTTTTTGATGAACAATGGTGGTCATTACAAACCTCCATGACAAATGCGTTATGTTTTCTGTGACTGCTTCACACAAAAGATTTTTTTTTTTTTTTAAAACCATGTTTCACTGGTTTTATGTTTTTAATGTGTTTTAGCAGGGAAAATACAGCAGTGCTGAGCCTGCTGTATTTCCAAAGTTAGTTTGATTAGAAGTTGATTAAACACAAGCAAGAATATGTATCATGTAATATCAGTGGAAATATTTAAACAATCCAACCTCTGTTTTGACACAGGGTCGCTCAATAAATGCCTCTATAAATGCAGGAATTTAGCGAACGGTCAATTGCCTTAAGGCTCTTACCGGCTACAGTTTGGTAGCTTCCAGCTCTGGTACTGTGTTCGGCAGAGAGGCTGATTTAAATGGCATCAATAATGCTGGGTTACATGCATGCTTTGTTTTCTGTGCATACTTCACCACTACAAAAACTACTGCAGTATATGAAGTTATATTTTTATTTATTTATTTATTTTTTTTAAACAGAAGGTGAATCAAATTGTTGGCTATATAATTGAATAAGCTACCACTTCAAATCTCCCTCTCTAGAGTGCCATTGTTTACTGTAGTTAAAGAAGGAAAATATGAATGTTGATGTCAAAAATTACAAATGCAAAATTGCATGTTTTCACAAAAGCTATAATCTCACAGAGGCTGTATCATGATTTAGCATGACTGCGATTTATACCTGACTTCCATCTTGTCCAGACTAGACTACATCAGGAGACTAAATGCAGTAACCCTGTTGCCGCAGTGAGTTGTTCAGGAATAATTACTCCATTAAAAGGCTAAAACCTACCTTTTAGGCTGATGTGTTAGAGGGACGACGGCTAGCTCTCATCTCAAGTCTGCCATCGATTTTGTGTTCCTTTTTAAATTGGTGGAGGCTGGAGAGTCAGTCACACACACACACATGCGCTCTGAAGGAAGAAACCAAGTTTTACCAAATAACTGCTTCATTAATTCTTCAATCAGTCAGATTTAATAGTCTCCAACAGAGTTAAGCTGGGTCATAGAGATGTTTCCCCGTGTGTGTGTGTGTTTTTACTCTTTGCAGGACTTAAGTGTCAAGTTATTAAAAAAATGAATACTATTAAAAGAATGGAGGTCAAGGGCAGTCTTTAAGTTGGTTGTGAATTTATCTATGCCATTCAGATAAGGTGTGTAGAGGCACAGAGAGGCCTTGGACTGTGAATTGTGATGTCTCTCATTCTTATAAACCACCAACCACACTCCCTCCCTTTTATTTATATTTATAATTATATTAGTATTACCAGTGCATCATCCTTCCTTGGGGAATTTCAGGAAAAAGAGTAGCCAACAAAGCAAAACTCCAGCTTTTTACCTCCTCCTCTGACTACTTTGTTTTGATGATGAAGCTCTGCATGAAGACGTGTGAGCAGTGCTACTCCCATGTCACCTGCATGTTTGTAAGAAATCACGGGGAAAGTAGTGACAATACAGCGACTGCTAGAAAAGCAGATTTCCTTTGAGTCACCGGCTGTAGCTTGACCTCGACCTCCCCAGTGACCCTTTTTACAGCCTGCAGAGTACTTCCCGTTTGATTTTCATAATGCCTCACTCACAACCTTTAATTTATCCGGAGCACGTAGTAGTAGTAAGGCAAGAATAATTGCTCTTTTGTTGCATGCATCCAGCTTCTTAGTAACTACACAGGATGCAGAAGTGTTTTCTGACATCGTGGGGCGATGTGTGACGATGCTGCCATGGCAGTAAATCAATTTTGATGGCTCGAGTTGTACTAACAATCTCCACTGCAAATCCACATTGGCATACTGTGAAAACTAAGGTGTTAAATTACCTCTTTGAGCAGCTCAAGGACATTCCCACACCTTAAGAGCTGCCCACCACCACAACAACCGCTTTCAAATGAATAGTTCAATGATTAACCCCTCGCCCAGGGATTATGTAACTCTTTAAAAGCACAAATGACTCATTATTTCTTCTACAAATGAAAATTCATGAGCAATGATATGCTCCCTTGTTGTTATTTCTACCACAGCCTTACTGGTCCGGTGCAGCTTATTTTAGCTAGCATCACCAAACTTTGTTGTAGTGTTTACCATTGTTCCATAATTGTTACTTGTGGCCACAGTGAAAAAGTCACATAGTCTCCCCCCCCCC